ACCCCAGTTAACGTGTCATGCTTACCTGAAGCCGCACCCGACAAAGTCGCCTGATCATCCTTTGGTCCTGATTTATCCTTCGGCCTCCAATGTCTCCGTCTAATCTCTTTAAACCCCTCATTATTCGATAAGATATCAGAAACCTTTAGCTTTTTAATATCCCCTTTCATACATGACGCCGTACGATGACCAAAAACTTTGCATATCAAGCATTGGGAAGGAACCCAATCATATTCTAGAACCACATTGATTACATACATCCTCACCAGTACCCGACAGCCGTGGGATAATCACTTCAATATTCCGCTGTATTTCGCCCACAGCCCAAACATCCACCAACACTTTAGCAAAATTAGTTCGACCCCACGCTTTATCACAAGTGCTTGCAGTGCAAGCATCCAAACGCAACGGAACACCAATAGCACTAGCAATACGGCTAATACCCTCTCTATTGAAAGCAACAAGAGGGATATTAAAAAACTTAATCCATAACGGGCAAGAATTCTGCTCGGGTTTCTGAAGACCCTTTGAGGGATCCCAGAAAGAGACAAACAGCGGCCTCCCTCTAATCATAAGGGGAGACGTCTCAACCACTTGGTTGCACCCACCATCATCATTAAAAACGAAAAAAGAAATAACCCAGATCATTAACCATAGCATCAAGAAGACCAAACTTTCCCCAAGCATTCTGAACCGCACGAAGGACAATAGGGAAAGGAAGACGAGGTCCAAGGAAATACCCATAAAGTACCGACTTGAAAGAATTGGCCATACCTTTAGTAGCTTCCAACGGAAAATGGATCCGCGGTTTCACTCTCTTCTCAACCGGAAAATAAGAAAGTTCTTGCTTAGATGATCCTCCCACAATATCAGCAAAGGACTTAGAWGGTGGTTGYGCACCCACAATTGCAGGAGAGAGACGTTCCCACACCGAGACCCTTTGAGACGGTCCAACATTAACACCTTTCATCGCACAAGGAACCGTCTCATCCAGGATTACATCAGCGAAATCCTGGGATGAAGATTCTTCCAAAATAACATCCGCAAAATCAGACATCAAACCCAAACAKCAGAAATACCTAGCTCCCAAATCCCTAATCAAGAAGCCGTGGTGCTGAATCCCTCGTCAAGTGTTCTCGACAAAATAAACGAAGACCTTACAAGAAGGTGCTGAATATTCAATTAATAAACTTCAACAAAGCAGACGAAGACCACAGAAACACTTAACGTAGGAAAAGGAAACTAGATACTACACCCCACCAACGCACAATCAAACACAACGGAAACACCAAGCAACAAAAGCCAAAAGGAGAAATACGAACCAAAGAGAAAACTAACAAGAGCATACAAACCCTAGCGCAAGCAAACCCTAGCACAAGCAAACCGAGAAATCCCGATCCCRACTAATCTAGCCTCTAAGCCGAAAGCAAATCGAAACAAAGAGGGAATAATAATCCAGCAAAGCAAACAACACGAAATCAGCAGCTCAACAACGAAACAAACCAGGCAACCAAACGCAAAAACCCCGATTGCATGCAAACCCTAGGCGAGAAACGCTAGGCGCATGCAAACCCTAGCCAAGCAACCATAAAACCGGACTGCCCTTACCTCAAAACCGAAAACAAAGCAAACCAAGAAGGATCGATAGCCCAAAAACAACGACAAGAACAGGAGAAAATTAACRAAACCGGAGACCAAAGACAAACCTGCTATTGCCGCCGCCAAACCCTAAAAGGAGAATCAAACACGGCRGTTTTCAGGAACTCACCCTAAGACCAGATCGAGCAAAACGAATCAAAAAGAAGAAAACGAAAACAGCAGCGTCCTTTTCAATCCCGTAACCCTAGCTTTGACCCCACACCGGCGATGTAATGCGACCCCAAACTCGGAACGAAACAGAAAACCGTACGCCAAAATGAAACAGCCAAAGATCGAACCAACARCAATCGATCTCCAACTCTCGACTATCGATTTCCAACTCCYGTCGATAATCGAGTCGTCTCCCCTCATGATTAGAGGGAGGCCGCTATTTGTCTCAACATGGGACCCCTCAAAGGGACTTCAGAAACCCGAGCACACCTCATGTCCGTTATGGATTAAGTTCTTTAACATCCCTCTTGTTGCTTTCAATAGAGAGGGTATTAGCCGTATTGCAAGTGCAATTGGAATTCCTTTGCGTTTGGATGCTWGCACTGCTAGCACTTGTGATAAAGCTTGGGGATGTACTAATTTTGCTAAAGTTTTGGTGGATGTTTGGGCCGTGGGTGAGATACAGAGGCAAATTGAAGTTGTAATTTCGAGGCTTTCGGGTAATGGTGAGGACGTGATAAAAGTGGTTTTGGAATATGATTGGGTTCCATCCCAATGTTCAAAATGCAAAGTTTTTGGTCATCGTACGTCGTCTTGCATGAAAGGGGAAATAAAAAAAGCCAAAGGATAATGTAATGTCGTCGAATAATGATGCTTTTAAGAACCTAAAAGAAAACATTGGAAGCCGAAGACTAATTCTGGACCTCGTACTGATGCTCAGGCTACTACTTCAGGTGCGGCGTCTATTAATCATGATACGATAATTGGTGTTGGCACTATAAAGCAGGCTACTGAGGTATCACATGTCTCGGGAGGTTCTAAAAAGGGCAAGGACGTTATTAAGCCTGCAGTTTCTACAGTCTTAGCTGGGAAAGGTGTGGAACATGTGGAAAGTCAATATTGTACTGTGGATGCTGGGAGAACGCCAAAAGGAAGAGACGATTTTTCGAATGTCAAAATTCTATCCAAGGGGGGTCCGGAGCTTGTCAAAGCAGTGGTCCATGCTTTCAAACCGAGATGAGGCACTGAAAATGCCACGTCTATTAGTACTCGATTTTCCTCATTACCATCTGAYGACTCTAGTGATGATGATGATATGGAGATAATTGATACTGAGGGGCATACTATGGAACAAAGAGGAGAGGAGATTCTCACTTCAACTTCTCAATGATAAAGTTCGCCGCATGGAATATTAGGGGTCTAAATGCCCTACTAAAGCAAAAAGAGGTACGTGATCTAATTCATGTAAAGCGTCTTTCTTTATGTTGCATCATTGAGTCAAAAGTTGTACATAGTCATCTGGGGGATGTGTGTGGTAAAGTGTTTGGTAATTGGAGTTGGATCACAAATGGGTTAATGTGTGATCAAGGCCCTCGTCTTATTATCGCTTGGGATCCATCTGTTTTKTCCTTGATTATGATTGAGCAGCACTTACAATATATGCATTGTGAAATTCGGATTTTTTTTTTGAAAGGAAACTCCGGCAAATTTATAAAACGCAAAAAAAAGTATTACAACGCAACCAAAAAACAGACAGACCGCAACCTACAACCAAAAGCCCCAAGGCCGTGGGAAACACCCCAACCAAGCCACAACAAACCAAAAGAAACAAAGCCCATAAGAAGCAAACAAACAACAGAAGATAAAAAGAGAAGCTTAACCCAAACCAAAGCCCCCCAGAACCAAAAACAAGTCTTCAAGTCAACCATAAGTAAGCACAAGACGACTTGCCAACCAATCTGCACGAATGGAGATAGAATCCCTAATAACCGCAATAAGATCCTGAGCCATACGCTTAGTCGCAGAAAAAAGTCTTCTATTACGCTCCTGCCAAATATAGTAAACAGCCGCGGCCACAGCAAGCTTCTGCTTTAACAATTTCGGACAACTATTAGACTTCGAAATAACTTGTACAATCTGTTCCCACCTTGAAGGCATACCCCGCAGATCCACCATATGTAAAACACTAGTCCATACAACTCCAGCATACGAACATTGAAAGAATAAATGATCATGATTGTCCAAACATTGACCACAAAGCGAACACTCCAAATCTGGTGGTTCATCCTTCCAATGTGGACGGTCTTGAGTCGGAAGCCGTCTCTGACAAGCCAACCATAAACAGAATGCATGCTTCGRAATATGACCCGAGAACCATACCAATTTAGACCAAGGGATCACAGTATAATTACCCTCTAAGGAAGCCCAAGCATTACCTATTGTAAAATCCGTACACATAGTATAATTGTCCCCCCATAGAACTCTATCACGAATAGAGGTCAATAAAGGTAACGGAGAATTATGAAGCATATCAAACCGTTGACACCAATCATCAGGCCAATTACCATTCCAGCTTATGATAAGATCACGAACCGTCGTTAAGGTAGAGAACCCACATGAATGGACAAACCGGTAAGAGATAAAAGCGGAAAGAGGACCACAAGGTAACCAAGCATCCTCCCAAGCATTCGTGTCCCGACCATCACCAATTTGAGAGAAGAGAAACCGACGCAAATGACTCCGCAAGTCTAATAGTTTACGAAAAACCCAAGACCAATTAGAATTCTTACGAAGCAGCCAGAGATTCGAAGAACGGAGATTATTACTATAAATCCAACGAACCCAATTAGACTCCTCAAGGAAGAATCCTTATGGAATGACCCAATTAGGAGGGTTGACTAGGGTTTTGACTTTTTCTCTCAAGGTGGCATGAACGTTTGAAGATGAAGATGATGATTTCGATTGCTCTTTGTTGATGTTTTGCGTTTATTCTCTTCCATTTCGATTTGTTTGGCGTTGTTACTTGGTTTACTTTCGTTTTTCTCCATCAAAGGCCGATTTGTTTCACGGATTAGGGTTTCTCTCGGTTTCATTGGAGGCGGCATTTGGGTTTCATCCTTTGAGGTTGGTTTTTCGTTGTCTTTTCTTTGTTTGCCTTGTGCAATCTTCCCTTCTTGATTGTTTTTGCTTCATAGTATCCTCTTCCCCTATTGTTGGCAAACCGAGTTGTGTTGTGTAACGGCTAGGGTTTGCGGTTTTTCATCTTGGCCGTGTAGTGTGTTGCTCACGGCTAGGGTTTCCTTTTTGCTCGTCGTTTTGCATGTTATCTTGACCGTAGGGTTTGTGCCGTTTATTTTATCTTTTTTTTCCTTCTTTGTTTTGTCACTTGCTTGGTCGTTTGGTTTCTTTTGGTTTTTTTGAACGGTTTTTTTTGGGGTTTGCTTCGGGGTTTGCTTGCTTGCGGCTTACTCTTAGTTTTCGTTGTGATCTTCTGGGTTATGTTTTACCTAGTTTACTTTTTCCTGTGTTAAGTGTTTCTGTGGTCTTCATTGCCTTTACTGAGTTACTTAATAGAATATTCAGCACCCCACTGTGGGTCTTCGTTTATTTTATTGAGAAAGCTCTTTGAGGGTTTCTGCACGACAACTTCTTGACTAGGGATAGAGGGAACTAGGTATTTTCTGTGGTGAGGTGACGATGTTAGATTTTGCGGATGTGATTTTGGAAGATCCTTCTTCTAAGGATTTCGCGGATGTAATATTTGGTGAGACGGTTTCTGGTGACTTGCATGGAACTCCTTTGCATGGGGGGTGTAAAGGAGGCGGTGTTGAAGGTGGTTGAGGATAATATTGGTCCCAATAAAAGGGTCTCGGTGTGGGAACGCCTATCTCCTGCAGTTATGGGTGGGACTAGTATGCAACCTCAAAAGTCTTTTGCTGAAATTGTAGGAGGTACTCCAAGGCAAGAGCTGACGTAATTTCCGGTTGAAAAGAGTGTGAAACCGCAGATCCAATTTACGTTGGAAGCTACGAGAGATATGGCTAAATCTTTCAAGTCGGTTCTGTATGGGTATTTTTTTTGACCTCGTCTTCCTTTTCCCATTGTTCTGCGTGCGGTTCAAAATGCATGGGGAAAGTTTGGTCTTATGGATACTATGGTAAATGATCTTGGCTACTTCTTTTTTCGGTTTAATGATGATGGTGGTTGCAATCAAGTGGTTGAGTCGTCTCCCCTCATGATTCGTGGGAGGCCACTTTTTGTCTCAACATGGGATCCTTCAAAGGGGCTTCATAAACCTGAGCATACCTCATGTCCGTTTTGGATTAAATTCTATAACATTCCTCTTGTTGCTTTCAATAGAGAGGGTATTAGCCGTATTGCAAGTGCAGTTGGAATTCCTTTGCGTTTGGATGCTTGTACAGCTAGCACTTGTGATAAAGCTTGGGGACGTACTAATTTTGCTAAAGTTTTGGTGGATGTTTGGGCCGTGGGTGAGATACAAAAATAGATTGAAGTTGTAATCCCGAGGCTTTCGGGTGATGGTGAAGACGTGATAAAAGTGGTTCTGGAATATGATTGGGTGCCTTCCCAATGTTCAAAGTGCAAAGTATTTGGACATCGTACGTCTTCTTGCATGAAAAGGGAAATCCAAAAACAAAAGGAGCATTTAATGCCGTCGAATAATGATGGGTTTAAAGAACCTAGAAGAAAACATTGGAAGCCGAAGAATACTTCAGGACCTCGTAATGGCGCTCAGGTACTTCTTCAGGTGAGCGTTCTATTCTTCATGATACGATAGTTGGTGTTGGTACCATAAAGCCGGTTTCTGAAGTACCGTATGTCTCGGGAGAAACTAAAAAGGACAAAGGATGTTGTTAAGCCTGTTGCTTCTGCAGTCTTTGTTGGGGAAAGTCAATATTGTATGGTGGATGCGGGGATAACGCCAAAAGGAAGAGATGATCTTTCGAATGTCACTATTCGATCCAAGGGGGGTCCGGAACTAGTAAAAGTGGTGGCTCATGCGTTTAAACCAAGACGTGGCGCAGCTTACTCCACGTCTATTAGTAATAGGTTTTCTTCATTACACTCTGATGAATCTAGCGATGATGAAGATATGGAGATAATTGATACTGAGGGGCCCTCTAAGGAACACAGTAGAGGGGCAATACCCATTTCAACCTCTCAATGATAAAGATAGTTGCGTGGAATATTAGGGGACTAAATGCCCTAATAAAGCAAAAGGAGGTACGTGATCTTATTCATTTAAAGCATCTTTCTTTATGTTGTATCATTGAGTCTATAGTTTTACATAGTCATATGGGGGAAGTGTGTGGTAAAGTGTTAGGTAATTGGAGTTGGATCTCTAATGGGCTATTGTGTGATCAAGGAACTCGTCTTATTATTGCTTGGGACCCGTCTGTTTTGTCCTTGATTATGATTGAGCAACATTTACAATATGTGCATTGTGAAATTTGGATTATGGGTCATCCAGAGCCCATTTTTATTACTTTTGTTTATGGGTGTAATACGGGAGTGGAGAGGAAGGACCTCTGGCGGGATATTGGTAAATTCAATGTTTTTGTTCAAAGAAAAGCATGGGTTGCGATGGGTGACTTCAACTCAATGCTTTTTCCTCATGATGGATTGGGTGGTTCCTCTAGACGTAACTCAGATATGGAGGAATTTCATCTTTGTCTGGAAGAGGTAGAGCTTTTTGATATCTCGTATCAGGGGTGCCAATATACATGGACGCAGAAGCCTTCTGGGGTGACGGTATAATGCGTAAATTAGACCGCATTTCGGGAAATTCAGCATTCATTACTAGATTTGGGGATGCCTCGGTTTTCTTTGAACCACGGGGGATCTCCGATCATTCTTCGGGAATCCTTTCCTTCAAAGTTGGTAGGCGACTTCGTCAACGTGGTTTCAAATTTGATAATATTGTGACGTCTCATGTAGATTTCATTAAATCTGTGGAGGGGGTGTGGATGAAACCTCAGCGAGGTTCATATATGAAGAGAGTGCTCAGAAAAATGCAAGAGTTGAAAGGGGTTTGTCGTCGGCTTCGTAATTCTTTTGGATGTTTGGATAAGAGGGTGGCTAGTTTAAAGACGGAGCTTGAAGTTGCTCAATTGGCTTGTGATCTAGACCCTTTTAATGATTTGCTGAAAGAGGACATTGCTCACCTCTTGTTAGCATATCAAAAAGCTCGAAATGATCAAATGGAAATGGTTCGACAAAAAGCAAAGATTTTTGGCTTAATGAAGGCGATGGAAACTCTAAGTTCTTCTTTCATGCTATGAGAGAAAAACGTCATAGAAGCCATATTGCTACTATAAAAGATGCTGTTGGTACGGTTTTTGAACATCAAGAGGTACCAAAAGCTTTTGTTAATCATTTTGAAGGTATTTTGGGTACTTCTAAAAGATTGGTTCATCCTTCTATGCAGGATTGTTCTTTTGTTCGCTCTTTATTGTTATCGGATTCTCTGCATTTAATCAGACCTATTACGGATATGGAGATACAGACTACGCTGTTTGATATTGGGAATGACAAGGCTCCTGGTCCTGATGGGTTCTCGTCAAAGTTCTTTAAAGCGGCTTGGAGTGTGGTTGGTAGGGATGTTCTTATTGCGGTACATAATTTCTTCTACTCTGGAACTTTAGAATACCAGTTGAATCATACTCTACTTTGCCTAGTACCAAAGGTCCCTAATGCTTCATGTGTTACTGATTTTCGACCCATCGCCTGCTGTAATGTTTTGCTGAAATGTATCAGTAAAATTATTGCTGATAGGATGAAAGGCTCTTTGGATTTT